CTGTTGATTGAGCTCCAGCCCCGCAGTTTCAGAGCTGGGTTATGTCAAGAAGGGTTCCTTCAGGACCCTATGCAGACAACACAATCTGGGGAGGAGTGAGGAAAACACGGGGAAAAAAGCATGCAAAGGGGCTGGCAGGAAAACAGGGGGCGTGTCCATGGTGCGCTGGTGTTCGGGGAAGGTGTGGCCGAGGCAAACAGTCCAAGGGAGTCCGAGGCAAATCCATGAGTGTAGCAATCCAAGACTGGGTAATCCATCCTGACAGACAAACAGAGTTAAAAGCCGGAGCAGGATCCAGCGGAGGGACGGGGGAAAAAAAGGAGGATCACGGGACCAGACGCTCCCTAATCCTGGACTCAGTCAGTCAACAACGTCAGGACGCTGTGATGAAGCCTGTGCCATTGAGTCGCTCCTGGACTTGCGGATAGGCGGGCTTCCGGGCGTCCATCTTCCAAAGCCGAGCCCAGATTGGCAGGAACGCCTGGCTTTTATAGCACGGGGGGCTGGAACCGGAGGCAGGTGCGGGAGACGAGTATAAAACAAGGAAGGACTGGAGCGTCCTTAAGAGGAGGGGTTTACGAGCGTGACAGGTTAGGGAAATGCCACGGACAAAAGCGAGTGGCAGGGCGTGGAGGGACTCTTCCATGGCGCAAATCTGGCCCCATCATCCACTTGCACTGATGGATAATAAACAGCCACCTCTTTCGGAAAGTTTTTATGTGATGATAGGTTGAGATTTTGTTAGGACGTGTGCTGATTGTGAGATGTTTTCTTTGAATCTTTGGATCTTTTGTTCATAGTCACTTGTGACCTTGTGTGTTTTTGCACAGCCTCTACGCCCAAGAGAAAACCTGACCACATGTACGGACCCCAGTGTTGTACCTCCTGACAGCTCGCAGGAGCTTCATCTCAAGGTGAGATTGCTACAGGCTGCAGGTCTAGCATGAGGAACACTGACCTCATCCTGCTGCACAAACTGGCTGGGAGCTGGCAGGATCAGGCTGCTACAGGTGACACAGCCGAAGGGGAAAGACTGAGAGATGTGTCTGAAAGTGCATGCATAATGAACAAGCCAGGCCGCATGTCATAGGCAATCATTCAAGAGCCTCAGCTCTGTACCCTGTTTGGAGACTACACTATGAAACCTCCCAGAAAATCATTATTTGTAGCAGAGGCAGCCAGTTCTGTAAAAGATTTAAGAAGCTATTCTCGGTATTTAAAATACAGTCAGGCTTGTTGAAAAATTGGGAGCCTGGTTGTGATAAATTAATTAGCAGCTCACCCTGAGAGTGCGTGTAGACTGTGCTGCTTGTATATTAATGCCACAATCCATCAGCCAGCTGCTGCTAACAGCTGCAAACTGCTCCTAACCTGTGGTCTCTGGCGTATCCACAACACTGTACAGCATGGTTCTGGAGATGCTGTAGGTTCATACATCCATACGAGCTCCCTGTAGTTGTGCTATATTAGAAACATGACAAAGACAGTGAAATATATAGGTTTATTCCATGCTGAAAAGAGAAACAAACGTTGTGTGTTTTCAGCATGGAATAAACCTATTACTTGTTCCTTTGTAGCCTACGCATGCTGATGCAGCTCCCTACTTGAACTACTTCAGTGAAATAAATATATATATGTAAGTATTCTTAAGATCCTGGAAAAAGTTTTAAGGTCCAAATGGATTTCTATATACAATCTGGCATTAGATCCTTTTATATACAATCTGTGCAATTCCTTAAAGTGTGGTTCTGCAAAACATGTAAAAAATAATTTCAGCCTTTTTCACATTGAACCCAGACACTTAAGAATCAAACATGACATTAAAACCCTAGGAATGGTATTTTTGACTGTATAGAAAACCATGGAAGGTCAATTCTTGAGTACAGTTCTTGAGTACTTCTAACCCAATGATATATACATTATGAGCTTCAGAGATGCCCAGCATCCCAGGAATTATTGTGTCATTGCTGGGGGCTGAGTCTACCTTTTTTTTGGTTATAGTTTGGTGCATTCAGTGGATCTAATAAATGCTTAAGAAATGATATGCTTAATGAATATAAACAAAAGTATTTGGGGAGGTACAGTAAGCATGATGCAGGATTTCGCCAGTTGAAATGTTTAATCACAGTACTCTGATGATACCCAATGAGTGTGTTACAGGATCATCAGTCTCTCTGGTTAACCTCATCAACACCGTACTTGATGATGTTGAGCCAAACTGGCCCTGTGTTCCTGTGGGGTGCGAGTTTCACAAAATGGGCCTCTCCTTGGTTATGTGGTTATTGGGTTAAGTGGAGCCAGCAGGGAGCGCTCACCCTGCGGTCCTTGTGGGTCCTAATGCCCCAGTGTAGTGACGGGGACACTATACTGTAAACAGGCACCGTCCTTCGGATGAGACGTAAAACCGAGGTCCTGACTCTCTGTGGTCATTAAAAATCCCAGGCCGTTTCTCGAAAAGAGTAGGGGTGTAACCCCGGCGTCCTGGCTAAATTTCCCATTGGCCCTTACCAATCATGGCCTCCTAATAATCCCCATCTATGAATCGGCTACATTACTCTGCTCTCCTCCCCACTGATAGCTGGTGTGTGGTGAGCATTCTGGCGCACTATGGCTGCTGTCGCATCATCCAGGTGGGGGTACACACTGGTGGTGGTGGAAGGGGATCCCCATTACCTGTAAAGTGCTTTGAGTGGAGTTTCCAGAAAAGCGCTATATAAGTGTAAGCAATTCTTCTTCTTCTTCTTCTTCTTCTTATTATTATTATTATTATATGCAATGTAACCGAAATAGGAATTCTGAAAACACACTCCCTTAACTGATACATCCTATTAACGTATTACACGACGTATTTTCCTCCTCTTTTCAAAAATATTGAAACTCCTGAAAATGATCTCTATCAGAAGAACTTGCCGGCTCTTGCTTGGACACCAGGTGGAAAATGTGGCTCATATTGTATGGATGGGCAGAAGGTTAGGGCACATCTGGGAAATGCATGGAGTTAGTGGTAAGGGCCATGGGACTGATCCATCAAATCCATGTGGAAGAAGAGTCCTGAAAAAAAGGGAGCGGAGCAGTGGCTCTGTGGCTAAGGATCTGCGCCTGTGGCTGGAAGGTTGCCGGTTTGTATCCAGTGGCCGGCAGAGGAATCCTACTCCGTTGGGCCTTAACCCCAGATGCTCCAGGGGCACCGTATAAATGGCTGACCCTGCGCTCTGACCCCAAGCTTCTCTCCCTGTCTGTGTGTCTCATGGAGAGCAAGCTGGGGTCTGCGAAAAGACAAATTCCTAATGCAAGAAATTGTATATGGCAAATAAAGTGATCTTAAGCTCTGGCGTGTGGGTTGGGGTGTGAGGTGAGTTAGACAGCATCAGCGTTTGCAGGGAGCAGATCTCTGTAGCCAGAATCCCAGTGTTGTGCTCCAGGAGAAGCCTGCTGGAGACACACAGGCTGACACCCCAGGACTGCATCTCAAGCTGGGGGCATACATGCTGGATATATACTTTATATAGACATATATAGCTTTCTCTATAACTCACAACAGAAGAGCTGTGCTGGAAGGAGGTGGAGATATGTATGTTTTTTTTTATTGACTTGTCTGTAGTTGTTGTCCAAGTATCATGATATTGAATGGAAGCTGTAACGAATATACCCCTCCGTATAACAGGGATCTCAGCCCCCCGGGCTGGGGAGGTCTCCTTTAGCTCAGCTGGCAAGTTCCCTGTTGCGTGACGCTGGAGACCCGGGTTTGCGCCCAGGCAGTGAGGGACGAAGAGAGACCCCAAGAACCGTTACAAAGGCATGGTGGCACAGCTGTTCACATTGCAAGTTTGAGTCCTGTCTGTGTGGAGTCTGTATGTTCTCCTTGTGCCTGCAAGAGTTTCCTCCAGGTGCTCCAGTTTCCTCCCACACCCCAAAGACGATGCTGGTAGATGAATTGGCTTCTGGCAATATTGGCCCTGCTGTGAGTGTGAGCATGTATCCTGCCCTGTGCCCATTGCTTGTTGGGATAGACTCTGGCTCTCTGTGGCCCTGTATCAGATCCAGAGGTTTAGAAAATGGATGGATGGTCAAGGGTCTGAAATGCTTCATGTAAAGAATGATTAATTTCTTGAGCTGTTATTATTCAATTCAATTTCCTTTGCATAAAAAATGAGACTGCTACCAGGGCATCCACGGGCGTCCACAACCACAAAACAAACAGGCCGAAAATGTTTTCAGACGATTTCAGACTGAGAGAGCTGGCCTTTCGGCAAGCATAACTGCTTAATGAAAACTGGGCCTCGAACAACACGCTCAGAGAGTCCGAATTCATCAGCCCATCATCGTGCTTGTATGTTCAGGGGGGAAAGTTGGGGTGTTTATTGAATTCCCGCTACAAAGTGTCACTGACAGGTTGCGAAGCCTGGGAAAACCGAATCGTCCAGTTTAGAGTTTGAGCTGGACTTGGTGTTTCTACATTATTGGAGGGGGTCTTTGTCGCTGGTGAGCCCTCTGGGAGTTTTGCCCCCGGGGAACTCAGAGGCTCCAGGGGTGAGGCACGCAGCATCGTTGTCTTTGTGCAGAATGACATTGCGGCACTCCACCTGAGCCACACTTCGTTTTACTTGGTATTGATTTTTCCTTCCCAAATCTGCAAAAGGGTCAACATAGGACGGCATATTCAGCTCACCTGCTTACTTTGCAGGCACCGACTCTCAGAACATCCATTTCGCCAGAGCACTCCGCAGGCTGCTCTTCCGGATGGGTATGGACTCTGTGCTTTGGGAAAGTGGCATTATACGGCGTGTGAGTGTGTGCGTGTGAGGGGGCGGTTTTTTTTGCTCTCGGTAGATGGAGCCAAGTGGTAGCTGCGACTGCGTTGGCAATAAGAAAGCGGTAGCGACATCCCTGCTTCACAGAGGCGCCGCGGCTGGACGATAATGGTCAGCAGCCAGCTGCAGCAGGTGAGCCTTTTCATCTCCCTCCAGCCCTTGTTGGCGGATTGTGCAGCCCCGCATTTCGGCGGCAGGGTAAAAACAGTGGGAGTTTATTCGGGGGAGCGAGAAACAGGAGGAGTAAAAAGAGGCGGACAGGCCTCCCGAGTGGCGAATCGGAGTTCCGAAACGCTCTCGCTGCCGTGCGCTTGGCGAAAAGGAGGCAGTGCCTCGCATTTGAATGCGCCCGGAGTCTGATTCGCTTCCACTCCGACGCTCTCTGGGATCCCGTGTCTTAAGAAAACGTCTTTCGCTCTCTCGCTCTCTCTCTCTCATTCTCTGTCCCTCCCTCTCTCTCTTACACACGCATCTCTCTGCCATTCCCTCGGAATACCTCCCGTGTCAGGAAACAGCGGGGCGGTGGCGGTCGTGGTCGTGGATTGCTTTGCTCGGTGCGCCCCCCCAGTCTTCAATGAGCCACATCTGGTCTACTGACTGACAGATCTCCTGGAAAGGTAGGCGATAGCCAGTACTGCGACATTTTTTGTTATTTCGACTCTTGCATTTGTTCTTTTTTTTTTTTGTCCGTCGTTTTTCTACCCAAGACATCCTGTTAAGTTAGGCGGTCTTTACCTTGAAATGACTGGTGTCCGTGTCGACGCACCTCTGCTGTCGATGTCAGAAGGGTGAAGAGCTGAAATCGCCCGTGTTTTTGTTTTCCGCTAACACAACCGGCGAGCGCTGCGCTGTCAGGGCTGTCTCGTGATTTTCTGCTGCGCCTGTCTTTTTAAATCGGCGCTGCTTTCTTTTCCCCATTCTGTGCTGGTTTGTCGTGCGCTTGATGGCTGTGGGTTGGGTGGGTTGACCAGCCCGTGGCCAGAGAGAAGGTAGCGAGTGGGACGCTCCCACTCAGGCGTCAGGCGCGTGGCTCGGTTCGGTGCTCTGCGAGAAGTGCGTGTCCGTGGAAGACGGTAGCCGTCCCCGAGATCTTGAACAATGCAGTTTTGGCGAACTGGAGCTCCACGGTGCACTGTGACGCTTTGCAGGGGTAGCCGTGTGTTCAGTGGTCCATCCCGGGGAAAGAGCAAGCAGTACACAATGTATTAAAAGGGCAGGGAATTGCATGAGGAGCCACAGAGGTGCGTTCAGACAAAGGGTGTGTCCGGGACATCTCCTGCCACAGCCGGGCGCTTGGAAAGGGGCCATAATGCGAAGTGATTGTGGCTCTCATCTTTGCACCTCTATATTCTTGACAGCTACGCTACGACGTGTCGCTATTGCGTTTATTTTTGACGAGCGCTGCGCCGCTCCACAGCCCATTTCAGCCGGTGTTTCTTTGCACGACGAGTAAACCTCCACCACCCTAATAACCGAGGGAGTGTGTAACGCTCTGTCTTCGGTGTCAGGGCTGAGGTCTAGGTGTTGAACAGCAGGGGACGTGCGAGTGACGGTGTTAGTCGGGGGGGCTTCCGTAGAGATACAACGGTCTGGCCTGGTTAGTCATGAGAGAGCCACCGGTTGAAACCTCCGACCAGCTGGGCCAGCTGCTTTGTTCACACGCTAAGGATGCCCAAGCTCTGGCAGGCGAGCCTTGCAGAGCTGCGGGTGGAGTCTAGGGTTGTGGAGCTGCCTGGCAGGGACGAGGCTGAATGAGGCAGCCTGTTTGATTGGAACTGGAAGCAGCGTCCCACCTACAGCGTTGAGGTGAGGACTCGGAATGCTGGGAAGTTGCGACACCAGCTAGTTGCAGGGAAGATCATCTGTGCGTTAAAGAAGAGCGCTGGCGCTGTGTGTGCGAGCTTCGTGCACATAGAGTATGCAAGGGCGAGAAGGGACTGGGATGAGGGCTCCTCTTGATTTTGGAGCAAAACATAATTAAGCGCCAGAGTCCCACAAAGGTAGATGTGCAAAATTCTGAATTGCCCCAGGTCTCAGTTAAAAGGATAAATTGGCATTGTGCTAAGCACCTAACTTGGAAAGAGGGATTGATAACAGCCAAAGCTGACAGTCCCACGGTTCGTATACAGCTTGTTTTATGACGCTAAACTCGTTTAATCCCCCCCTTTATTAATGAAGGGGACCAGAGGAAAATCTCCGCTGGTTGTGTCGGGGGCGGTAACCTTTATTTTACATGCCCGCCTGATCATGACGCGTACAGAGCAGGAGCCGAGCTGCGCTCCGGGTCGGCGTCCCCTCGACAGGCACACTGGCAGTCGACAAGCCGGCTGCCTGATTCCCTCCGGCGAAGGCAGCTGCAGTGGAGGGGAGTGTCGGCACATCGCTCAGGTCACGCTTGACAGTGCGTGTCTGTCATATGTATACAGTATATACACGTAAATGCAGCGTGCAGCGTGCAGCGTGCATATAAAATACCCTGAGAAAAGTTCCACCATGTTTCATCTGCATTAGTATTTTCACAGCGATCCATTCCTTATGGCGTCCAGTGCTTTTGCATAGTTTTACCCTTCCTGATGATCTTTTACCATGCTGCTGATTTTTTTTTCACTATACCTCTGGTAGTTTCCTCTGGTTTTACAGGCGTAAAAGATGAGGTCAATGCTCTTATATTTCTGGAATCCTTAACAGTATTTGTATCGTGGCATGAGTTTTGAAAGCTGTTTATACAGTATGTTGTGTAGAGTATATGCATGGCTATGATTCACTAACCCCCAGTGATTAAATCTGGCTCCTGCACAGTGCATAACACTGTGCTGAGGACAGCACACAGTACTCTGCTGCACACTGACTCACTTGTGTGTTTCACAAAGCCTCACATCTTGGGGTTGTCAGTTCATTATATCATCACAGCAACAGGATTAAGAAGATACAGTCTTCATGATTATCTGTGCTTTAAACTGTATAAACGTGTCTATAAACACTTAATATTCAATTACATGATATATGTACTTGTAATCTTAAGTGAACCGCATTGAAAATGTTAATTTTCCATTTTCAATAAAGTGAACACCCAAAACAAGGGGTTTTAGACCACTAAAAGAAGTTTAAGCTTGTCTTTGTTAGATGTTTTCACAGTTAACTGGCATGTTACCTCATTAAACGTTTGCCACCAATTATCGGTAAACAGGTGAGGGTCCACGATTACTATAAATATAGGGAACATGGGCAAAAGTTTGTAATTCCTGCATGAACATGGTGAACTTTGCTCAGTTAAGCAAGGAACAAAAGCAGTCTATAGTTACTTTACGAAATGAAGGCCAAGCTTTAAGACAAATTGCAAGAACTTTGCAAGCGTCAGTAGATGCTGAGGCCAAGAATATCAAACGATATGAAGACACTAGCGCTCATGAGGACCGCAAAAGGTCAGGCAGGCCAAAGGTGACCTCAGAATCAGAGAATACGTTCATTAGAGTCACAAGTCTGCAAAACTGGCGACTAACTGCCCATGAAATACAAGCTGAGCTCAATGCAACTAGAAGTACAGGTGTTTCAACATCAACTGTTCAGAGGAGGTTGCGTGAAGCTGGCCTACCAGGAAGAATTGCTGATGAGAAACCATTGTGAAGAGGGCAGAATAAGAGGAAGAGACTTGCCTGGGCCAAAAAACACAGAAACTGGAGCTTTCAGGCCGACTTCACGCAGTCTGGTGAAGTGGTAGGTTAGTTGGCTTCTGGGAAAACCGTGTGACTGTGTTTGAGTCTGTGTGTGCGATGGCCTGGCGTCCTGTCCAGGGTGTATCCCGCCTTGCGCCTGTAGATTGTCTGGATGGGCCCCAGCTCCCCTGTCGCCACGAACTGGATGAAGCAGTTGGAACACGGCTGGTTGGCTGCGCCGGTTTGCCTTCTGCTGAGAACTCCTGACGCTGAAGAGCGTTGCTCGCGAGCATTGGAAAAGGCATCCAGTTCTTTGGGCGGCTGGAAAAAAAAAACCCGGCGGGGGGGTGGAGTGAGGCCTGATGGGATAGTCAGGCTTGTCAGCTGCAGGTGAACGGAGGCTTTGACCACACCGCATAGCAATACCCTTAGGGACAGGAGAACCTTTCCACTTAAGACATTTTTGAAAGATATATGTGCTTCCCCTCAGCTCTTTGAGGACTTATTATTCTTCCCTGGTTGCTGCATCAGTTGTGGTAATTGCACCCGCAAGTGAAGTCCAACAGGCCTGACCTTGTCTCCTGTGTTTGCTCACTCTGGAACTGTGTGATAGGAGCCAGCTCCCTTTTTATTGAGGATAAACGCCACAGGAGGCCTTAAATTTAACTTTTACCATCTTACAGCGTACAGGTGCTGAACAATGTAGCCGGCAATGTTCCCTCTAAGCTGTGCGAGGTTGTGCGCGCACACAGGTTATAAAATCAGCGCACACAGGAAATTGAACTGCGCACAAAAAGTTTAATTCCAAAAGAAATCTGATAATAATAAAACAAATGCTAAACCGGCCACGTGAGACTAGCTGGGAGAGGCCCAACTTGGCTGTGTGCATTATTATTGCTACTCGATCATCGATATCTCTGTACCTCCCTGCTCATGCTCGCTGGACACTCAGTCTCTATGACTGGGCTCGTTGAATCACTCTCCCGGTCTTTGGGATCTCTATGCTTCGATGAGAATGACTATATTAACAAAAAATAATTTCAGGTTTACAATTTTCAATTTAGTGCGCACAAGTTTTTTATCACTGCACTGAGGAAACAATTTGCACAACTTGTAATCTTTGCGCACACAGGGCTTTAAGAATTAGAGGGAACATTGGGAGCAGGTACGGTATATTAGAAAGCACTTTTGTGTACCAAGAATGACCAGTGCCTGGAATATTACCAAGACCCATTGCAGAGATACTGACGCTGGGATCTTTCAATACTAGGATCAGAGATCAGTGCAGTGGGGAATGGAGGTCTGCAATTTTGTGGCGGAAATGCCTCTTTGTGTCGTACAATTTCAGTCTGTCCTCATTCTGGCCTGTATGAAACTCGCAGGGTGCACTCTGCCTGAAAATGTGGCCTAATCTGGATCAGCATTTCTGTAATGTTTTAGGTTTTCTTGCCTAATTGTGCAAGTAAAAGTACTTAAGTCTTCACCCTAGCATTAACAGGACTGACATTTCTGTAGCTGGGTGGACTGGTGCAGTCTCAGTTAAGTACCTGGCTTAGGGGCACAGCGTCAGTGTCTTCAGTCAAGCACACATTTGAGAATCGAGAGCCCTAATCTTTGCTCTGTACTGCGCCTTTTCTTTGGAGATGTCCCCTCATTGTGCAGTATTGCATGCGGCATATGCAATGTTTTTTTTTTCTTGAGGAGTGTTTATCTTACCTGCCTGTATAAACTAGGCGCTATGATAGGACGTGGAGCCTGGTTGTGCCACGGAGATTGATTAGTGAGTAAGGCTGTAATCTGTTAGAGTGGAAATTCCTCAGCTCTGGTGAACCAACTGTGCTGTACGTGACATTCACGGATGCTTTCAGTCATACAGCCCTTGAGAATGCCAGTGTTTTTTTTATAGGTTCTCCATCCTGCATCCCGATCCGCTGCTGTTTAAATTCGTTATTTCCAGGCGGCGT